AAGAGTAGAGTTCGGTGAGTCACCAAACTTCCAGTGGTGACTCACCGTTGAAGGCAACGTGTGCGGCTGGAGTGGCTCTTCTGGAAGCCTTTGACGAGACGTGGCAGCGATGGAGATGGTGGGAGTAGCTACGGCGGCCGCGTGGCCCTAGGGTATCATACCCTAGGGTTTGCATCTGGAAGAGTGTGGGCCGTTGGATCTCTCAGATCTAACGGCTGAGATTGAGACGGTGGCTAGAGCTAGGGTTTAGAAACCCTAGCTGAAACCCTAAATGTTTAGGGTTTCCTTTTGGGTTTGGGCCGGTTCTGGTTGGGCCTGGGATTTGGGCTTATAATATTTTTTTAATAATAATAATAATATATATAATAATTATAATAATTATAATAATAATAATAATAATAATAATAATAATAATAATAATTATAATAATAATAATAAATAAATAAATAAATAAAAATGGGTAAAAAAGTTAGTATCTTCAACTGCCATCATCCATTTCCACAGCAGTCATTTTATATTGCCACATCATTATCATTTGTATATACCATTACTAACTTTACTTAGGTGACAAAGTAAAGTTCCTTGACAAACCTATTTGACTTCTCCAATTCCCTGTGGAGACGATACTCTACTTATCACTTTATTACTTGTTCGATTGTGTATACTTGCACAATATCCGCACTCATTTTATAGTACCCACAAGAGCGGACAGTATTGATACTTTATAGGCGCCATTATTGCAATTCTTTTAAATTCCTAAAGTATCGATAATATCTTACATATACTTATTAAAGTATCGATACCATAAACATATCCGATAGATATTTATCAGTTTTGTCATATTTTTACCTCTTATATTATTATGTGTCGATACATGTTTATAAAGTTTCGATACTTTATAGGTGCTATTATTGTAATTCTTTTAAATTCCTAAAGTATCGATAATATGATACTTATACTTATTACAATATCGATACCTTCAACATATCCGGTAGCGCTTTACCGGTTTTGTCATATTAAACCTAGTTTTGTTATATGTTTACTTGATATATTGTTATGTATCGATACTTATTTGAATGGTATCGATACCTACCGACAAGCTAATTTTGCTGATTGCCAAATTTTTTAATATTTCTTCATGATTTCCACCTACAACATTATTATTACTCAATATTTCCGGTAGCGCTAAATCGACTTTGTTAATTATCTTATTATGTTCCCGATAACGTCGTATATTAGTCCGCCTTTCCTGAGACAATCACCTTTGTTGGGCTCTTCTTAATTTCAGCTGGCTTGGTTCTATCTTCTTGCGTTACCCATTTTCTCCTTCAGGTAATCCATTCATTCAAATCTCCTTAACTCTTGATTCTTCTCTTTTCCCTAATTTCATTTCTTCCCTAACCTGCATTTATCCTCAATTTTCATTCGTGACTTCAAATCCTTTCTGATTGCTTCCTCTTCTGCCACTCATCCATGACAACACCTCCCCCTTCAGTCGATCCTTGTCCCTAAGGATCAAATTCGGGAAATTATGATTGAAGAACCGAGAAGTCTTCTTAGGTTGCGTTTTTTGAACCTATGTTTGTCCATTGCACTAGGAGCTATGTAGTTGCCTGATTATTCCTCTTGACTACGTGTGTATCTAAAATCGATGTAGGGTAGACATTCAATTGACCATCGGGCCCTACTTCTTGTGGATCCAATGAGGTAATCGTATGCTCCCCAATCTTATTCTTTAAAAGGCTGACATGAAATACGAGATAGAGTCTCGTATGGTATGGTAATTTTAACTTGTAAACTACTGACCATACTCATTGGATGATTGTGTATGGTTCATAATATCGAGTTGCGAGCTTCAAATTATTGTGAAGTGCCAGAGAAGAGTACTAATATGGTTGCAATTTGAGGTGAACTCTGTCTCCTACTTGAAATTTCTTATCACTCTTTTTTTTTTATCATCATAGAATTTCATGCGTGTTTGAGTCTTCAGTAGTTGTTCTTTCAAAACTCGATTTATGTTTACTATGGTATCCAACAATCCTTGAACTGTGTTGACTATAAATTGACCTCCCTAAGATATGAATTGGTGTTTGTCCCCATACATAGCTTTAAAAGGGGTTATGCCCAATACAATGTGAAAGTTGGTATTGCACCACCACTCTGCTTGGGGTAACCAGTCAATCCAACTCTTAGGATTAAGAAAACACATGCTTCTTAGGTATTACTCTACACACTAATTGACTCTTTTAGTTTGATCATCTATCTTAGGATGGTAGATAGTGCTGAAAAAGGTTGTTGTCCCCGTTTACTTCATGAACTCCTTCCAGAAAACACTAGTGAAACGTTTATCTCTGTATGAAATAGTTGTTTTAGGCTGACCATGTAGTTTATAGACTTGAGACTAAGGGTGAGCAAGTAGAAGAAAGTGAGCCTATTTTGTAAATCTGTCTACAATGATCCATATGCTGCTAAACTTCTTAAAAGGGGGTAAACCCTCAAAAGTCTATTAAAATTACCTCTCATGCCTGTTGGTGTGGTTTGGTTTAGTCATTTGGCAAACTTTACAGTTTTGAATAAACTCTTTGATCTGTTTCTTCATCCCATGCCAAAAACATAGAGTTGGACTCTATACATTGTAGCTTGAACCCTCGAGTGACCCCCAATAGCAAACTCATGCAATAGAGATAAAATTAACTTTCTCAATTCACCTTTTGTCTCCACATAAATTTCTTGTTAAATCTCAAAACACCTTTACTAAAAGACCATTGGTCATTTTCATCCTTATAAATACACAAAGCTGCAATTTTTTCCTGAGCAAATTCATTTTCCTCATAACTACTTTCAATTTCTTGTACCCACTGTGGAATTATAATTATTCTGATTTGGTGTAAGAGTAACACCTTTAACCTGGCTTAGTCGAAAATCAGATTGAAGATGTAATTAGAGATAAAAAAAAATCAGATTTTAAACAAGCATTTCTAAATATTCTGATGTGATTCCCATCGACAAGGACTCGGAAGAATAACCTAGTGGACCAATGGCACAAGCTAGGGTGAGGAAGTTTCAAGAAGCCATACAAAGTTTATTTTGTCAAGGCTGGAATTCGGAGAAGGAACCTCCAAAGTCAAGGGAAAACTACTTTCTTTTACTCGTGCATGAATTTTCATGAATCATCAATAGTTGCATAACATCAATTTTTATTAATAAGCATACTGCCATTAAATGTATGCACTTCATTGAAACAAGTTGTTCATTAATACATATAGTTCATTTAAAAAGCTACTTCATTTAAGTAAGCTAGTTTCATTTAATAAAGCTGGTTCATTAATTAAAATAGTTCATCAATTAAACTAACTCTTTTAATGTTTGCATGACATGTTTATTTGATTTTATTTAAGGCTTGAACGTGACTTACCTTTGTGTCTAGTTGCACGGACGATTTGGATGAGCTTGAACGAAATAAGAGACCTTTCAAATTCAGCAAGGAGACAAGCAATTGAAGGACCTATTTATTCATACAATCAAGGCATTGCTATCATCCCATTTGAGAGGCCATTTTAATTCTACAAGAGACATGCCATGAAGGCCATTTTAATTCATCCCTTTATGACATTCAAGAAGGATGAATGCCTTGTAAATCAGCATAGAATATCAAGAGACACTCCTCTTTGGACGTATAGGATGTTACATTGATCAAGGTGTTCACATTCAACCTCTACTTTTTCATAAGGAAGCAAACCAAGGGAGTTCAAGAGTCTATACAACAAGAATTCATTAATTGTATCAATAAAAATAACGATCAGTACCAATAAAAAATCTTATTAGTTAAAAATTCTCTATCATAAAAGTTTAGTTATTAGAGTATATTACATTTCGGTATATAAAAGCATATGAACAAAATATTCATAGCCATTAGCCTTCGGCTTATTTTTGACAAATAAGAGTAAAGAAAAGACCCCAACGGAAAGAAGATTTGTAACTTTTCTTTTTCAATAATTTGAGTATCTATCATTTATCTTTTTAAGATCCAAATAAATATTAATTTCGTCAAGATAAAGCAGGTTATAATATTTTTTAAAATATTTAATGTTGTTGTATTCTTAAAATTTTAATCCAAGAATTTAATTAAGTTGAAACAACTCTGTGTTAATCGATCCATGCATTTGATGGTAAAATGTACATTTATTGTTATTACTGGTGAAGTCTTTTCCTAATACAATATTTTGTATATTGTGGATGCATATATATAACTTTTTGAATCAAATCGTTATAATCCATAATTTGATTCATTCATATTATTATTATTATTATTATTTTGTTCACTCAAGTTTTTTATTTTAATATAAATTTAATTTAAGATTTAAGTGCTAAATACATTTATTAATTAATAAGGGTAAACTATGTGTTTAGTACCTAAATTATCAATTTTGGTCTGTTTTAGTACCTAAACTTTTAAATTTTTTCAAAACCATAACTAACGTTTAGTTTTTGTTTCATTTTAGTACCACACTATTAAAAACTTAGCGGACGAACTCGCTGGCCGTCACATTCATCAAACTTTCCATACCAACCTTTTCAAACCCCCGAGCGTGATTCTGACCTCCGTTTCACTAGAAAATGCCTCAATGTCTCCAAATTGACGATCTTCGATTTCTTAATCCTCTTATCTCCTTCATCAATCGTCTGATGGGCATGAAACTAAATTATGTTAGTTGACTCGTCATTCTCTCGTGGTTTTCCGTTCGGATTGGCCGTTTGTCCACTGGAGCTATGTCTCGTCAGACTGTCCGTTAAGTTTTTAACGGCAAATACTAAAATGAAATAGAAACTAAATGTTAGGTATGGTTTTGAAAAAAATTAAAAATTTAAATACTAAAACAGATCAAAACTAACAGTTTAAATATTAAATACGTGGTTTACCCAATTAATAATTCAGGCCTATAGCTGTTGACCCGATCCGAATTGCAAAATCTATAAAAAAGTGACCTGCGTTATTTCTTTCGTAAACCCTAGCGCCCCTTTTTACTGTATCGAACAAAAACATAGTTACTTGTTTTCCTCCTCTGTTTTCCCGAAGAGAAAAAAATGGTAATGACTTTGTATTTGTTAAGAGAAAGTGATCTTATCTTTGCATTGTATCTTACAAATGGCTTGTACTTTTGCAGACTGGAGAAGCAGTGAACCCCAAAGCATACCCGCTTGCGGATGCTCAGTTGACAACAACGATTTTAGATCTTGTTCAACAAGCTGCCAACTACAAGCAGCTCAAAAAGGGAGCTAATGAAGGTTTGGAAACAATACCCATTTCCATATTTTTTTTCGTTTTTTGCAATTATTGTTATCTTTTCCGGTATGGGTTTTCTTTTTCACGATTGTATTTTTCTTCTCTTTTTAATTGGGTTTGTTTGGGGTCCCTGAATAGAGGTATATCCGAGTTCGTTGTGATGGCTGCCGATACCGAGCCCCTTGAGATTCTGCTCCATCTTCCTTTGCTTGCTGAAGATAAGGTAATTGCTTTATGCTTTTTTTTGTTCTTTTTCTGAATTCATGCTTCATATTTGAGTATTTACGCTAGTAAAAGTAATTGCTTAGTGGTATATGTATTTATTGTCGATGTGTTTGTGGTGTTTGTATATGATGTTCCTTGCTACAACTTAAATGTGTTAATCAGTTATATCACTTTTGTAATGTTTAGCGTTGGGTTTAGTGTTGGACTAATCATCTTTGGGAGTTTCTGTAGTTTTATTGCTTCAAATCAATGATGTTCTCGTTAGCTATGAATTTGGTCGGGACTGAAGAAAGATTTTATGCTAGAGGTACAAAATTAGACCATTGATAGAAAATACAAATAAAATACTTAAACTATGTGCGAATTTAAAATTTCCAGCTCAGTCCATCCCTGAATTTGGAGCACATGATTCTACTGTACTTTTACTTAAGGTTACACGCTGTTTCTTGAGCTCGGAAACATTCCAGTTATGCATATTCTTGATTCCTCAATGAAAAGTTCACACCTTGATTCATTGCCTAGATTTTGATAACAATAGCAATGTTGTTTTTGCAGAATGTGCCCTACGTTTTTGTTCCTTCAAAGCAAGCTCTTGGACGAGCATGCGGGGTCACAAGACCTGTAATTGCGTGTTCTGTCACAACGAACGAGGGAAGCCAATTGAAGTCCCAAATACAACAACTCAAGGTACTTACTGCACCTTCTAGTACAGCATGTCACCGTATAAAACTAACGATATTTTGCCCCTGGTTTGGCTGAATCTGCTCCTGCATCTCATGTTTTCTTCATTTGTGGAATGTAGGATGCTATTGAGAAGTTCTTGATCTAGAATCTTATGAAGCCTGGTTTTCGGCGTGATGGGCCTCTTGGATTGTGGTGGTCGGTCCTTTAGAGGCGCTGACTGGTGAAGTTGTGCCCCATTAATCTCACCTTGAACGTGATTGTTGTCTTTTATGTTTTGGTATGAACTCAGGAAAAGGATAATCTTGAATCTACACTTAGGGGAGCTGAGTATGACTGATGCTGTTACTTAATGTTGCATGTTTAAACTGATTAATCTTAAAAAAAAAAAATTAACAGTTTTGGGCCAACCTGACTCATTTGAATCATATATCTTCCATCAGACATTCAGCCCAACTCAACCAGATACCCAACACACTTTTTTATATATATTTTTATTCGATAAAATAAGGAGATAATTGAAAATTGGGATCATTCCTAAGTATATGGAGAGTGACTATAAAATATTACCCTAGGTTTTGATTAGATTAAAGATTTTTCACTCTAAATTTTGATTTGACCTTATTTTATCATTTATCTCGCTCATTTTCCTTATTATGGGTGTAAATAAATTGTTTATAATCCATTTGTATAAAGTTCATTTATTAAGTTGAACAAAATTTTCATGTTAATAAATGAACGAACATAAACGATTTGTTGAAGAATATATAAACAAAAATATTTGAGAAAGTTAAACGAATAAAAAACGAACACCTTTAAAAATATACAAATAAACATGATAAAATTTAAACGAATACAAATTGAACATGAATACCTCAAAAAATAAACAAATGAACACTAATAAACTCTTTTTCTTCAAGTTTAGTTCATTAACACCTTATCCATTACCATCCTTCTAAAAACATTTACTCTTTTCATTGCGTACTTTTGTAGCTACAAACCTTTTTGTTTTGTGTCTATTTCTCACATTAGGGGTCGGATTTTGCAGTTATGGAAAGGGAAAAGGTTTTGGCTGAAAAGAATTTCACGAACAAAGGAGGTAGCACCATGGATGACTCTTCCAAAAGTCTTCTACAATGGATGGTTTAATTCTATGTTGTATATAATAATCACGGAATAACTTATCGTCAAGTGGGCGTGCCGGAGTGGTTATCGGGCATGACTAGAAACAAAAACAATAAGCTGCTAGTTCCTGGTTTGTTTTTAGAACTAAACTGACCCCATTGCCCGTAGTTCCAGACTGCTGTGCTAATGGAGTTTTGAGTAATTCACTTGAGCTGAATGCCTTCGCTTCCTGTGAAACAATTGACAGACCCACCTTTTCTTTTCTCTGTTCTCTGAAGTTCAAAGCATTGTAGAACAAAAAGAATGTCAAACTCGAGTTTGACACTTGTTTTCGTCCGATCGATACTACCAAGTGTTGGGACTTTCAATCCATGTAAAACGTTTACATTCTTGGTTCCAATGAAAAAGTCCTAGGCATGGATGAGTTGATTTCGTTCCTTCTTTTCTTTCACCAGTTTGATGAATTAGGAAGATTAGCTTCAAGGAAATCAGCATTTGTCATGCTCTAGCGTTTTTCAGTCATGTATTTTACTCACATTAGCATCACATTTCATGGATGGTGATTTTTTCAAGTGCATATCAAGCCATCGATAGCCTTCGGATCCGTTCCACGATTCATGTACAACTGTTGATACCATTAATGTATTATTTATTTATTTATTGATCATTAATGTATGTTGTAACAGGGGAAAAAGGAGATTAAAAAATTAACAGAGCAAAACACTAGCAGTCCATGCGCGCCAGATAGGGGTCGAACCTATGACCTTCTGCTTAGGAAAGAGACGCTCTATCCACTGAGCTACAAGCGCTTGATGTTCACTGTGTATGCATTACGTTTAAATGCGTATAATTGAACAGAACCGGTGAAAAACAATTCCCAGCTTAAAACAAAAGAAACTCAATTTTGAACCTAAATCAGCATTCATGCATATGACATTGAACGAAAGAAACTTTACATGTAGCTGAACAGTATTAGAAGGAACAAAGTTCCAGGAATACAAGTAAATATTGAGAAATATGTTTACAAGTTCAGTCCACAGTGTTGAGTATTGACTTGGAATCCCATATCAAAACACAACAATTCTATATTTGAAAACACATACCAGAACAAGTTATGGCTGGCATACTATGACAATATTAATCGAAGAATATCCCCTGAATATTTGAACGATTTCTCAGTTTCTTCCAAGCAATGGTTCTTCTCCTCTCGAGTCCAGCTCTTAAGTAACATAGAATAGGTGTTAGTCTTACAGACAAAGTATAGAAATGGTGTTTACAAGAGAGTTAAGCAATCATACAATGAATATTACCTCAGCAACTTTATTCAGCTTGTCCCTCACATTTTGTAACAGCTGGGAAAGGTCACCATCCCATTTGTAAAATTCCAACTCCTTGTTGTCAAGTATCTTCTCAGCCACCTGATAGAAAGAGTGGGGTTAAATGAGCTCGAGTGCTCTATCTTGTAAATCAAGTTATTATTCATCTAAGTGAGGACAATTTATGGAGAAGGGGGAAGTAAGGACATAGATATCGAGGGAAGTGTATGCATTCAACATGCTACAGAATAAGTATGGCTATGAGATATCCACTAGATAGAAGCTGATGAAATGCATGAACGACCCAAATGGGGAACTGAAAGGGATAGGAAGAAGAAGAGAGACGGAGCAAAATGACATGTGCTTAATTCTAGACAGTGCAGATAAGGATCGAGAAATTTATTTTTCGATACTCATCGGGAGCTAATATTGTGTTTACCTTTTTCCCAATCATCCGGCCACCAGCTGAGTGGGCAAAATAAATGTTGTAAAAATGGCATATGAATGCTTGTGGATCCTTGTCAGATAGTTCTTTAAGATACTCGGAATACGTAACACCGGGAGAAGATGGTTCTGGAATGGCATAACCTTGGTCTTTGAACCACTGTAAATCCATCGCCAACTTCTCGGACCTTTCCAATCCAGTGTTTCTGAATTCAGCATCTGAAGCAGACCAGTCTTATCACTTTACTTTTTTCTAGCAGTACCGTAAAATCATAAAAATACCACAATCAAGAAGCACATACATACAAGCATATACATATGAAATGAGCAAAGCTAGGAACTGGGTTTAACATGAAGTTAGCACCACTGTTACTTTTAAAGGCATTCATTTCAAGTATTAAACAGCTACAATGCAATCATCTATGTTAATGGTAAAGTGCTTTGGTTTTCGTGTGAAAGGCTATTTGAATCTACCTTCATCAAACCATTAGACCAAACAACAGAAGCCCGGAATCGAAGAAAGAAAGAATTCTTGGCATACAATCTGCATTCTTAATTTGTCATTCACCCATATAGCTGAAAACAAATACATTCAATCTGTATTCTTAATAGATTTTTTTGTCAAATTGAGAGCAATTACTCCAAGTTCCCTCCGTTGTGGCCTATAGCAACATCTAAATATCATTGTATAAAAAACTTAAAGGTTCAGTCTAGTCTTATTTTCCCTTAATAAACCCATCCTATCACAGATGGTTCGATTCTAAAATCAATCACAATACTCCAAAACTATAGCTGAAAACAATTATACATAGGAACTAAAATTCAAAGAAAAAAAGTTGAATGAAAATAGATAAATAGAAAATGGGAAGCTTACAGCTAGAAAAAGCAGCCTTATCAATAATCCCTTCAAGCGTATCGTAAACCAACTTGCTGTCAACAAGGAACTTCAAGTACCCATCGACAGTGGGCTCCCATACCTTAACGGTCCGTTCTTCAGGTTGTTTCACTTCCTTCTCTCCTTCCTTGGCTTGGTCTCTAGTATGCAATTTCATAGCCACGATCCTCATCTCCTCCACAAACCCTTTAGCCTCTCCGGGGTACCTCTTCCTGTGCTTCTCCGCCGTCGTGGCCGATACGACGACGTTCCTAGTAACCATCCTGGGGAGTTTAAGAGACAGAGCTTTGGAAGATGGGAAATCCTTGAGGACAAAACTGGAAGAGAAATTGGGAGGTGGAGGTGGTTTAAGGTTGGGTCTTTTGAGAAAGGCGTGGGACTGGGAAATTGGGATCAGAGATGCCATTGAAACCCAGATTTTTCTATTTCTTGCTAAGGTTTAAACGGGGCTGTTGATGTAAAGAAGGAGAGCGAAAATATGAAATATTTTAAGAGGCTTGTATTAGCAGTTCACACAGTCTTGTCTTGAAGCTAAAGTGTTGATATGAAGTGGTAAATAGAAAAAGAAAGAATTTCTCGAGTGAATAGAAAATTATGGTCGCTTAAAATAATGGCGACTGAAATGGGCAACGGTATGGGCTTTCCGCTTTTCTATCTCTATACTCACTTAATATTTTTTAATCTATCACCCGTCCACCACCTTTGATGGATATAAATTTTTAAATTCACACCCGTCCACGTGGATACATTTTTAAATCCATCCCCACACCCACTACCCACTAACGACATACCCATCTAGACCCGCCTGACAGCAAACTAATGGGATGTTGGAGTTGGTTCCCAGACAGTTCGTGATGGAGTAGCAGCGCATGCTTCAATTTGTCAGAGGAGTGGCTCTACAAATGTTATAGAGACATATTGTAAGGAGCATGTAGTCGCAGAGTTGGATTGTTGTGTTGCTTTTGATGTTAATGCTCATAGTGCGCCTAATATGGGTTTTGAGTAGGGGTGTGCAAATCCGGGTACCCGGATTTCGGAACTTCCGGGTCGACGATTTCTCGGCCTGTGTCCCGACCCGGATGTTACGGATACCCGGTAATCGGGTACCCGGATTTTGCGGATACCCGCTAATCGGGTACCCGATACCCGGTTTTTCATTTTTTATTTTCAAATTATTAATTTAAAAAAAATATATACACAAATTTAAATGTTCGAAACTTCGAATTACATACTCTAATATCCGAACATAAAATTTAAAAGTTCAAAATAAAAAATATAATAATTCATAATATAAATAATTCATTATATTTTATATAATTATATATATAAAATAAAAAAAAAATAAAAACTAACCGGGTACCCGGAAAACTAGATTTTGTGACCCGGGCCCGACCCGGGAAATATCGGGCCGGGTACCCGACCCGGCCGGGTAATTTTTTTTAGAGAATTACCCGGTTTTTTTAGATCCGGGTCGGCGGGTCGACGGGTCGGGTCAACGGGGTCGGGTAATTTTGCACACCCCTAGTTTTGAGAGGCTAAAGAATATGAAAACTGCTGTTTTTGATATTAATGCTTATAATACGGTTAATTTGTGTTTGGATGGACAGCATAGGCTAAAGAACATGGAAAATGACGTGATTAGTGGGATTATGGGTTTAATCAAAGAGCCGAATATTTTCCTAATTAAATGCCATATATCTTTAATATTTGGTTAAATTATATGTTATATATTATACAATATTAAAATTTATAAATTAGTCTCTAAAATTACACCTAAATTCATAATGGTCCAAAATTTAATAGATATTTAACTGGGCGGGCGGATGTGGGGCGGGCGGATGTAGGGCGGATGGGGCGGGTAATGTCTCAAACCCATTACCCGTCCACCACCCACGACGGGTACCACTCTATAAATCCACACCCGCCCACTATCCGCTAAAATTATACCCATCCCTGCTCCAATTGGAGCGAATGCGATGCGAAATCTACGAAACTGTACCCGTTTGCTATCCTTACTTTCCACAGTATTGGAACTATAATCCAGTGAATGATCTAAAAATAATATATATTAATATATATATATATATATATATATATAAAACATAAAATTTATGAAGTAAACTTTACAAACAGGAATTTAAAGGAGGGTAATTGAAGAAAATTTGAATTTCAATTTAAACATGTGTCAATTCTCAACAAATAGTGATTCCGCCACTGCCTATAATAAATAAAATATCCGGTTAGATTCGAATTAAATAATATATATATATATATATATATATATATATATATAATTATTTAATATTTGATTCACTATCAATTAAGCCATCATATCCACTTCATTCACAATATCTAAGTTTTAAACATCAGTTAATCCATAAAATCCACTTCACTCATAATATGTAAATTTTAAACATCAGTTACTAGTCATAATTTTTCATACTGCTAGACTAGAGGTATATATTTTCAGATATCGAATAGATAAAAATTACTATAACAAACGTTGGAGAACTAATTACAGTATACAACCAAACTAAAAGAAGTAAAATAACAAGAGGAGCTGAAATTCCACTATTCGGCTGCTTGTTCAAGAACATGGATCTTCTTCCATGTCTCGTCCAATCCACTTATTTGCAGGGGAGGCAAACGGTGGAGCTCCCGCTCCGAATTTCCTTCAATCCGCGCAATGTCGGCTTTTCATTCTTGGGGAAGATATGGTCCAGCATCCCCTCACATTCCTTAACCAGCTTGTAAACCAAGTCGGTCGTGTAGAACGGCTGTTGCATTATCCTTTGAATGAAAGGCAAGCGGATTAAAGCACCAGTTCTTTTTTCATACTTCTTCAATATTTTCACCAATCCTGTTCACAGGTAGCAGCATTCAGGGTTAACAGAGACAGAATCAGGATCAGATAATACAAGGGTTAAATCGTCTAATTTCAGGCTTAATAAGATTTAGGAACCATTTAATCTAGATTTGAGAGAAATAATATTTAAGTTAATAAGTATTTAAACTTGTAGCGACTAAAATTATAAATCAGATTAAAAATTTTGAAGACGAGAGTTCCTCTTGTATCTTTACTAACTCTGAATATTAAACGATGTATCCGTTCAATAAATAATCTATGCAAACAAAATATATTGTTTTTCATACTTCTTCAATATTTTCTCCAATCCTGTTCATAGTATTCAGTGTTAATAGAGACGCAATCAACAATAAAAGGGGATAAATTGTCTGACTTCAATGTTAATATGGACTTAAAAATATATTTGATCTAAATTTAAAAGAAGCAAGGTTTAATTTGATAAATATTTAATTTGCAAGGACTAAAATTATCATTAGACAAACAATTTATATACTCCAAGTACATCAAATATTTAAAGGTAATCTTTATAATGGCTGCCGCATATGCCCAAAGAAATGATCTTAAACAAGTTGAAAGGTGGCCATTTAAGAACAGAATATTTAACTTTGAGTCAAAGAATGTATGTGGATAAGTAGTTAGCTGCACAAGGAACACGCAATAGATAGAACGAATAAAGTAATTCCAGATAAATGGACCTTTAGTTCTTTAGCAATTACAGGTTCTTCTACAGAGATTGCAAGTTGCAATAATATCTACTAGTTTCATACTATGATCATGATAGCTTAATCACGATTATGATGCAAAATATGATCCAAACAAGCAATCAATACATGATTAAATGATTATGCAGCCGGCTACAACAGTGGTGTCAACTATGTAAAGCGTTAAAAGAAAGCAAGTTGCAATATATTTGATTAAACAAACAAAAGTGTTGATTGAATGAAAAGAAAGTTGAAATACCTGTGTAGTTAAGGTCACTATAATTCTCCAACAAAACCATCTCACCATGGAAGTCCACTATCTCCTTCCTAATCTTTATCATTCCTTCATTGGAATCCTTTGCCTTTGCCACAATGTCTTGTAATTCCTGCAACCAACCCAAAATAACTTGATATCTTGATTTAGAGTATACGACAACGTTCGGATCCTGTTACTAGTTAATTCCGCATCCTGTTTGTTTACCGGGAAAACTGGAGAAAGAAACTAGAAACAAGAAGTAAATCCCCCTCCCCAGGCAATAAAAACAGATTGAAATCAAATCAGCGTTGGAATTACCCTCAATCTAATGATATATTCTTCCTCTTTCTCCATGAAAAAAGCGTTGAATTTCTCGAGCTCCTCTTCCGAAAGCTCAATGAAATCCGACTTCTCCTTCGACATACCGTAGCCTTCGCCGACTTTATCTCCGGTACAGAAAACATCGACAGAACTTTGATCCAATCTAAGCCGCTTTTAGGCCTCTCATTGGAGTTAGGCTCAATAAGCTTTAGTTTATTCTTAAGCTCCTCGGAACCGTCTTTCGGTTGGGCCTCGAAATTGGGCTACGACTTGAAAATTGGGTTAGGAGTCGCCATTGATCTTTTATTTTAAGCAAATAGGTAGATCGGATACCTTATTTCTTACTTGATCTGCGTCTTACCAAAAATGTGTCGGATTCGAGAGTAGAATACAGTCAAGGAAGGGTGAGCACCCTTGAACTGCCCTTTCGGTACTACATAATTTCCAGTTGTCTTACTTTAAGAAAATGATAACTTTAAATTAAAAGGTAAAATAGCGATCTTAGCTACTTACAAATGATTGATTCGAAAGCGTACCCTTTAGGAATCAAAATATGTGTTAGAAGAGATGAAATAAATAAATAATAAAGAAAGTAATACAAATGAAATAAGAAAAGAAATAAAAAATAAAGTAAATATAAAAATGAATAGAAAACATAAAATAAATCAAATGAAGAGAAATAATAGCGCTAGTATATACATAGTAAACAACTAAATAAGAATAAAATGATAATGCAAATAAATAAATAAAACAAATAAAAGGAAGATAAAATAAAAATTGGAGAACAAAAGTAAAAGTAAAAATGAAAAGAAAATGAATAATTAAATAAATAAAATATATAAAAAAGTAAAAGCATATATATATATATATATATATATGTAAAATAATAATAATAAAATAAGATAAATAATATAAAATAGAAGATCCAAAGTAAATATATATATATAATAAAATTAAGAAAACGTAATGTATATATATAATAAAAAATAATTAAAAAATAAATAAATAAAATTTAACAAACAATTTGAAGCTGACAGGGGTTAAATCGAAAAGAAAGGAAAATTTAATGGCCAATGTAGAACGAAATCGGGATTTAAATGCAATTTTGGGACCAAAATGGAAGGTTTTAAAACAAGAAGGACTAGAAGCACGGTTTATCCCAATTCTGTGTGAAAACACGCGGATCCTTCCTGGGTCAGGGTCACCGCGTGGGTCGTCCGTCCGATCCATGGGCCAAGCATATAAGCTAAAATTTTAAACAAAGGCTTCATTTTCTCTCCTTCGCGTCGAGAGCACTTCTCTCTTTCCTCGTTTTCTCTGGTTTTGTTCTTCAAGCTGAAGAACTCAA